CTCCCCACTGATTTGGAATTCCTTAAACAGAAATGCTAGAGTTATTGGTATCTTGTTTGGGTATACAGGGGAGAGGTGTCCAGGTTGGCAGGCTTCCTCCATAAACTCAGCCACAACTAACCTGTTCCTGAGAAATAAAGGTTCCTTCATTCCTGTTCCATTGATGTGACATCCTGGCGTGACATACCTAAAAAACTATTCCCTCCCCTATGCTCACTCCTGTTCACCTGTTCATGCTCACTGCAGCTTTTGGGTAGTTTATCAGTCCTGCAGCTGTTCAGGAATTCAGCCCTTCCTGCCTAGTATCTTGTTTTTGCACTGTTTGTGTTACAGTGAGAGGGGCTGTGGGAAGGGATCCTTTGTGTCGTTCCCTGCTACAATTATGTAAGTATTGCAAGAGGAAAGGATTTGCAAATTTTCAGCATGCAGTTCCTGAATTGTTGGTGTTTGTACAGTCCACTCTCAACAAGGTTCTGAATCCTAATACCATCAAGCAGGAGGTCTTGGCTGTTTTCTTCAGTTTTGCATTAAAGTCCCACCTATCACAGACGAGTTTTGGAACTGGCAACTGTTTTTTGCAGGAAGGAGTTTTCTGTTATTTTGCCATACTTTACTCTGCATACAGATCCCATATTCATCCCCAAAATGAAAGGAGTTGAGAATTATCTCTGTCTTTCTTCTCCCCTCAAAAGTCAGCAGGTGGTTCTATCCTGATGTATTAATCAGATACACTTATCAAGGTTCCATCCTATAGGACTATTGTGTTACGTTCCATTTCAGGATGTCTCCTCCACTGTTGAAAAAGGGAGCATAAAGCTCAGTTTCTGTGGTGGAGAGAGAGCTTTGTTTGTTTGTTTGTGTCAGTCTTGCTTTGTTTGTCACCTGGATTTGGAACCTGGAGGAATAACCCACCCTAGAGCATAATGTCTCATTTTAAAAAGCGAGTCTTTGTGATAAGAGCTATATTCCATTTATCATTTGCAGTTCCTCCTCCTCCAGAAGTTTACAGTTCTTATTTGTACAACTGAGCAGCAAAGACCTTTTAATTTTTAAA